ACAATAGCATTCTTGTAAAAATATATTTTTAAAATTATAATCTATTTTATATAAAGATTGGTTCAAATGCCATTTTTTCTATAACCAAACTAGTAATAAAAATGATTAATGAAATCTATTGAAAATTGTATCTAAAAATCATTTTACATTCTATCAATTTCAATACTTTTTAATTTATATTTTGTTGTTGAATTCTTTTTGTTGAAAAATATTGATATCTTAGGAGTAGTTTCAACATCTTCATGCTATCTTTTTTGTTGCTTGTTTGTTTGGTGACATCGCTACAATTATTTATGTTAGATTTGTTTTAGAACCAACATAATGAAATGTTGAGTAGAATACATTTTGCATGTGTATTAGAAAATAGAGGTGGTTTTTAACCTCTAATCATTTCTTCTACTTTTTGTTTTGTTTGTTTGATTTAAATTAAGTTGATTTTTTTTAATTTTTAATTTTTAAAATGACCTCCTAAAAAATTAAGAAAATATTTTGTAGTGTGGTTGATTTAGGATGCCAACCATGTTATGAAGGATGTGGCACATCATTGGCATTGAAAGTATACATAATGTAGATGCAAGGAGGTGGGTAGATGTATTGGTTGTATGGATATCTATACAAAGGCTTGCAATTGATATGTTGAATGTATATGAGTGGGAGTTGGATGTTTCTTGCATATAGGAAAATACAATGTTTTGGAAGCGGCAAGGAGTGTTGAGGCAATAGGAATTTTTTATTATGTGGTTTTAATTCCAAAGGTGAAAAAGGTGGATATAAGAAGATGATGAAAATGAGGGGGATGGAAGATGTTTGTAATGTGGGGTAGGTGTGTGCAAGAGTGAAGGGATATTATTAGAGACATGATTGGAGTTTGGGTGAAAACATGAAAGAATGGGATTAGGCGAAAGAAAGTGGTGTGATGGAAAAGGAGGGTGACGAGAACTTGATGCGTGCGCACCGTGGAGGTAGGTGGGCGAGCAGAGGAGGAGAAGAACTGGAAAAGGGAGATGGGAGGATGACAAGAGTGGTGCACCGGCCGGGAATCGAACCCGGGTCTGTACCGTGGCAGGGTACTATTCTACCACTAGACCACCGGTGCTAGTCCGTCAGCGGCGGTCGCAGCTGCGTCGCTGCCGGCGGGATCGAACCCGGACCACCCGCGTGATGGGCGGGAATACTTACCAGCATACTTCGTAGACTTCTGACTAGAAGGAGACTCACGGTCCCCTCGCAGGACCTGAATGAGCACGTTCCCTTTCACACCGCACAAACCACAACCCAGTCATCTTCTTCTTCCCGCACCGACCCCACCCCGAGTAAGTATCCTCCTCCTCCTCGCCTGCCGTGCCGTGCCGTGCAGCTACCTCACCACCCACACCATCATCATCATCATCGGTGGATTAATTCCTCTCACCCATCGGGTTATCATTCATCCATGGAGTTCAATAACGAACGAACAGCATCCATTTTGCTTACAAAGGATTATATGCAATAATTTTATTGATCTTTTATCTTTTATTTTATTTTACTTTTTTATTTTTATTATTTTAACTCATCTTGGACCTTTTAAAAAACAAAAATATTTGATTGTTCATAATTTATTTTGTAACCACTTATAAATTGGTTCAAATAGTAGTTGAGATATTTTTTTAAAGTTCAATTGCACAATTGTAAGATTGATGTTTTAGTAATATATTGGCACTTTTCTCCTTAAATTCATCTTGGTATTCTTTATGTTACTCCAAGATTCTACCACAACTACTACTTAAATGAAAACATGGTAATGCAAAAATTATAATTTGATCTCTATTTTTTGTTGCTTGTATAAATGTCCTAATTCTAAAAATGAGGATTTTATTTCTGACATATATATATATATATATATATATATTGCTTTACTTCACAAGTAGCAAAAAAATTTAAGATAATAAAATATTCAATCTATTTGAAAAATATATTATCTTAATCACAATAATCCTAAAATAATAGATTTTTTTAGACATTTATTTCATACTACTAGACTTTCATCACCTTTTACAATTACTTATATTAGTAAATTTTTATAAGTAATACTTTGAAAAGATAAAGGTTGTCTATTCATAAATTCTACGTATACAAGTTTGATTTTTTGTAATAAAACTACCTTATGACACTTAGCATATTTGTAATGAAGAAAGGAATTAGAGGCATTGAGATTTTAAAAAAAGATATAAACTATAGGATTTTTATATCCAACACAATTTAGTATTAAAAATAAAAACAAAGAGGTAGAAAGATAATTTATAGCCTTTATAAGATGATTTTGTATAATAGTCCAACTGTACAATCTTTTGTATTATAAAAAAGGTTGCTTTTCTAAAAGGTTATGTTCTATTAGAATTAAAATTCTTATTTTACAATTTCATCTCTCCTTATAATAACATACACCAATATTTTTTGGATTTCTTTAGTACAAGCTTAATCCTTCTTCACAACATTCAGTTTTTTCTTATGTTTTAAAATGTTTAAAGAATATACCATCAATCAACATATCTTCAATATTTGATTTTATATCTTTATTATACTTATGCATGGTTTTGTGATTATAAAATAAAATAAAATAATAAAAAAGTATACATGAGAAAAATTTATGAATATTAGTTGTATTTTAAAGTTATATAAAACATTATGAAATTTTTCATTTTAAAAAACCTATCAACTAAAACTTAAGAAAATTCTTCAAAAATTCTTCAAAAATAGAATGTGTAGAACTTTTCAAACTCTATGGCACTTGTGATGTAAGAATATATAAATCAATATTATTTTGTAATCCATGCATACTAAATGTATTTAATTCATGCATAGATATGAATAATGTAGTAAAAAAATATTGTGAAAAGAAATATTATTTTTGTATTTAAAATTACACATCTTATTTTTTTAATTTAATCTTATAGGAACGAAGGAAGATGGATTGGCATTTATTGCCATATTTTTGTAGGAAGGCAATTGTTGCTCTACAAAGTAGGTTAATGTGGCAAGGGAGGATTTTTGAAGGATATGGGCAATTGATGCTACACTTGAAGCTTGCTGGTTTGCAAATGAGCTGTTGTTGTATATAATGAGTCAAAATCAACATCTGTCTATTCTAAAGTATGCAATATTATTAAAAAGAGAAATTTTAACTAATACGAGGCACTTTGCTTTGATACTTGATGCTGATTTATAGAAACAAGTATTTGAAATGAGAGCGCAATGTCATATTGTCACTTTTAGTGGAAATATTGTTTGTAATAATAATCCAAATCTGAAAACAAGTGAGGTGGTAAGGCAACAACTATATCATATTGTAATGTCTTGCACTTTGAATTTTTAAAGAAAGGCTAACTTATGGAATACTTTAAACTCTCATATAATACTTGTGACAAAATAAGGTACTAATAAAGACTTCCAAAAGTACATAGCATAGTTAGGAGCAAAAGTGGTACAATTTGACTTTATTAGTTCTTGAGCATTGATGGAACATTGCTATTTACAAGAATATCTTTCTATTTTGTTATAGTGCGGGGGTATGCTTTCATCCCTTGCCATCTAATGAATTTTAATTCACAAGGGTTTGATGTTGCTGATTTCAAAGATTAAGATTTCAAAAAATAAATCCCTTCAATTCCAAAACAAATTTTACAAACTTCAACGTAGACATGAGCAAATTTTAACTCATTCTCTACAATAATAGTACATTTACAAATTGGTACTCTTTTGGGATAGACTTAATGGTCCCTTTGCTTCCATAATTCTTTTCTACCACATCAATCTTCATGCTCACTCTTTGCAAAGCAAAAATTGTCTTGCCACAAAAATGTGGCAGCAAATGCCACATCTCAACCACAAGAAAAATTGCAGAGCACTTGGTTCAAAATAAATTTCTTTTTAGAGGCTATGCCCTTATTTGTTGGCCAGTCAACAAGGCCACTGCAAGGGGGCATTGTGCCTCCTTAACTTCTCATAGTTAAGTTGTGGTGGTATGTATTAATTATGATGAAACAATATCAGTTAGAGAAGTAGCTCTAATAATTTCCTATCTTTATGTATTATCGCAATTACTTATGAAAAAACTATGTTCTTTTACAAGTCCAATGTTATAGAAACTATCATACCACATGGATATCCTAAGCAACCATTGCCTTTGATCTTTTATGAATTTTCACTACAATCTACAAATTAGGTGTTTCTTTACATCTTAGGCTTATTATAACACAACATATGATTAAAATTTTGGTTTGATTTTGTTCCAAAATCATAAAATTTTTAAACTTTAGTATACTATTTTATTTATATATATACACATGTTGTAAGTATTTTTATCTAAAATATAAGGACAATGTATTAAGTTGTAAAGTTTGAAAATATATCAAATTAATAATTATAGGTTATATATAGATTAATTTTTCATCCAATGTTCTCAATTAGAAGATACATAAATCTAATTTTTTGGTGTTAGTTTACCGTAAGTAGAACCATGAATATATATACATGAGATTGAATATTTTTAGAAAAATGATTCTTCTGCTCATATTGTGTGTGTGTTGAAATAAAAACGATAGTAATCAAATCATCACTCTAATTCCGTCATTCTTTCTTTAGTGCTTCATTTTTTTTCCTTCCAACATGCCTCCCTCATTCCAATGATGGAGATGGAGATGGAGAATAAATCTGTCTTGTTCCGTTCTTTCCCTTCACTCCTGAACACAATGATAAGAATGACATCTCTACTACTTTTTTTTGTTTTGTTTTGTTTTGTTTTTTTTTTTTTTTTCCTGATATGTAATTCCGTTTTTAAATGATTGAAGTCACACATCATAACACATCTATCATTATCCACTACACCTTAAGCCTCACAAGAGCTTCAGGGGTGGATCAGAAAGTGGAACCAGAATGTAGCATGAGGGGCTATGGTAAGGTGAGTAAAAATCCATCACACATGGGTACCGAAATCCCATATGGATACATGGAAAACAGATACGAAAGGAATAGCGTCAAACTCGGTTTTTCCGCGTTGAAATTACGCGTTGCAACAGCAATTTTGTTTACACATGGTGCAGAGATTCCGAAGCCAAGTAAATCATTAACTGCCAATGTGAGGCAGAAATCGGTGGCTCTGCTGATAAGAATAGGCAAGAAGTACAACCCTTGTGCTTAGATAGGTATTTTGCACATACCATTTCTGCTGTTTTCCCACACTGCCAGCACAAGGATGTGATCTTTGTGCGAGTCGAAGGAATGAACACAGCATTAGAAAGAAAAATAAATAAAAATAAAAATAACAATGATTAAGGAGATGGTTTTATAGTGAACTACAACATATGTTGGTGGTGTGAGCATGATGCACTAGCACACGGCTAAATCCCATTAAGAGGGACCCATTCAAGGGAGACTTCGATCTCACCCCTCTCCACATTCCAAAGCTTGAGATGCACATCCTGTTTGATTTGTCCGTCGATGACCTCGATGTTACTGTCCTTCACAAGCGCATTGTCATTTGTGGCCAGCCACCGTCCTATTTGCTCGCACCCAAACTCTTCAAACATTCCTTGATGCATTTGTGCAGCTAGAATGAGCGGATTTAGATCGATTGCTGCGTCTCCCATTGAATCATCAGCTGAGAAGACGTCGTGATCAAACACTTGCTGCGAACGCCAAGGGTGGTACACAAAGCTGTCAGTGTCTAATTAATCCCATGTGTAACTTTGTTAAACTGTGCAAGAGCTCCTCCTTATGCTTGTATAGCTTCAGCTGTGAAGCCGTTATAAGATAGTAATAACATATACTTGTAGCTAGTTGAGTGAATGCAATTGATCTTGAGTGGTATTAAGATTATCGCATGACCATTGATGAGCCCTGTTGTATATCTAGGGTCCGCGCAGACAGGACAATGGCTTGATGAAACCGAGTTACGAAACGAATGTGACTAGGAGGTATAGCAGTGTTTATTTTCCACACAGGCGTTCACATACTATGCCCCATTTAAGCCACAAGTAATCCTCTATTATTCAAGAATGTCAACGAGGGAACCCCAAATATGCAGTAGTTAACAAGATGACCGACAGTCAAATAGAATCCTATATAAGCAGCTCATGTGATGGAAACTTACCAGTTTGAGTGGCTGAGGAGGGCTTGGTACAGACAGCATGTGCTCTTCATCCCAAACCGGATTTAAGTTTCTGTTCACCACCCTGGTTTTCACGGTCTGCATTCGAAAATCTTTACCAGTGAGACACAAAATGAATAGAGTCCCTCCATATAAAAGTGACTACACAGGAGCTTTGTCAAAACTGGAAGAACCACAATGAAGTGCATGTTTGAACATGAGATTTGTAGGAAGTAGTGACAAGAAGTCAAAGAAACAATCGGAACTGTCAAAGAAACGTAAATACCTGTGTTCCAAGGGTAGCTGTAACGTAGGGATCACTAGACAGCAGATCTCGGACAGCCAAATTTATCCCTCTAACGATTCTCACTTTCAGCATTCCCAAGAACTCAACCATGCCAGCCTGTTCGATCGCCAAACCGCAAAGATTCATTACAACTAGCTTCAGAGGAAAAAATTGGTGAAATAAAGGTTTACATATGCAAGTAACCTTGCATGAGACCATTACAATCCCTCTGCTTAGTTCTTAAACATCATGATGTCAAACCTACCTTCATGAAACATAAGCATGTTCTCCAAACTATCAAGGATTTTGTTATAATCTAGAACCATTTGCATAATTTGAAGCTCACTAGCAAGGTTACTGCTATTGGTAGCAGCTATAGAATGCACCAAACAGTCATAAGATCTGATTCGTTCCGAAGTGGTCTTCTAAGTTCGATCATTTTCTTAACAGAAAATTGATGCGACAAAAGCTGAAACTGTCTTTCATTAAGACAGTAACGAGTATCGATGATTTGATCATTTACCGTGCTTGGGCTGGAAGCAGTGCGGGACAATGAGGCACTACTTTTACGACTTAAAGCAAGGGAAGAGGAGCTCCTGAAACTACTAGCTGAGCTCCCACGCTGGCTGTGTCCAACTGAGCTACTGGTGCGGTTGATTGATTCCCTGTTACTGTAGCTTGAAGTCCTGCTGTGCACTGGAGCCCTGTCACTAGGTGCTGATAGGTCGTCTGTTTCTAGTCCAGTAGGAGGCCTTGCACGAGAAGTGGATTGTGATTTCATTCGCAGGTTGGGTTTCAAAAAGTCTTGATCCTCATACTTCCGCCTGCGCAAATTGGCGAAAATATGAGTAAGGGAGTTCAATCAGGATAAGTTCAAGACAACACAAAGCTGTGATGTGAACACTAACTGCACCACTCAAGAGAATGCTGGCTAGAAAAGTATAATGCCGCAATTCTCCTTTTTCTTCACTAATAGCAAGTGCGTAAGCATATCACCTTATAAACTCAGAGCGTTCTTCAACGGAGGCATTGGGAGGAGGCTTTCGAGTACCAGAGGGTATGCAAGCTTCATAGACTGAATTAGCTGATGCATTACCACCAATTGCCTCCATGAGGTCAACTTGCTCATCTGACCAAGTGTCCAGTGTCGTAGAAACAACCTGAATCAATAGTTTGAGAAAGGGATGATGTTTGGATGATAAACTTTTTTTCACATCACATTTCTCATTTGTTGTGAATGGTCTCCAAAGACCACACTATTCTATTGCAAGACAGAACTGTTCTTCCAAAGTAATGACTGGGATATACGAATTGGATTAGAATCCAATTCAATTGCAAAGACCCGGCATTTGAACTATGCTTACTACAATTCAAATGCCTCAAAGTTGGAAAAGCGCACTTACTTTCGAGATGTGTACGCCAAGGCTGCGGTGTACCCCACAACATTTGATACACAGAAACACTCCTATACTTGTTGATCTATGTGAGCAACAGTCAAAACACCCAATAAATAAGGATGGACGTAGGAAATCAGCCACTTATCATAAGCGATGTTTAGCTTCTAGAATCAAAATGCCAGTGACTAAGAAAATGCTCCTAAACATCGACAGGATATGGTCGCTAAGCTAGTGCTGATGTGACCATGGTAGACTTCATATGAATGGCTGAAAGCAATCCTATGCTACAAGTGGGATAGTTCCTCACAAACATCTTCATAAGAACGGCGTGGGAAAAAGAGAAATCCATGACTTACGCCCATTTTGGATCTGGAGCCCCGCAATCTGCACACACTCGATTTTCCGGTTTTTGAAGTAAACTCTTAAGTCTGTCCATTGCCTTCGTAATCACCAGACGCGATTTTTATTTATCTTAGTATTTATATTAATATACGTATTGTTTTCACGATCAAAAAGATGATGCCAAAACCTATCCAATGTCGACCTATCTCCCTCACTCCCCTCTTCCTCCACCTAATAAGTAGGTTGGGCGAATCCGTCTTCACCCTGCCTCCCAACAGAATCGGAATGCAGAGCAGGATTCATGTCCCAGAGAAAATGTATAATAAAAACATATAAAAATAAAACTATAAAAAAAAATTAAATGCGTCGGATGTTTTGGAATAACCGATCGATTTCCGCTTCAAATCACTCCGACGTGGAAATAAACCCTTCCCACAAAAAAACTCTCTTTAAGACCGATCTCAAAAAACAATAAACAAAAAACCTAGGGACAGCAACAATTGTGAAAATTTATGATGCCACGCTATATCAGCCTGATCCTCCCACGGAAACCTAAGATCCCTGCGCCAAAAGCTCCCACCAAAACCACGCCTAGAAAACTCAAACCCACGCCCACGTCCTGCAATCAGAAACTCGACAGTGCCAGACTCAACGACCCCCACAAAAAAGCTGCGACTGAATTCATACCCCACTGTGCAAATCTGGTGCTACCAACAAACAGCAGCAGTAGCAGCGCGTGCAGACAACAATGGACGTAGTCTGTGGCGTGAGTGCGTCCCACTCAGCAAAGCCCGTAGCTTTCCACGGTTCCACGATCTGAATCTCTCTCAAAAGCTACAGACAAGCATGGAAGACGGCAATCCAGATCGTGGGTCCTGCCCCCATATCCCCGACTTTGTCGTCGTCCCCGACCTCGACCCGTTCCGAGAACGAAGTGATTCGGCCTTTGTTACTTACTTTCTTACTCCCTCCCTCACTCACTTACTGTGCACAATCACTATGGACCCTAGTTGATGAGGGAGCAAAGGGAAGGAAAGGGGGGTATCACTTGGCCTGGCTTTGTCTCTGCCTGCCTGCCTGGGCATGTGCTCCCCGCAGCCCCCACCGACCTTTCCTGCTGTCATCGCCGCACATCCATCCCTTCGCCGTGGGTTACTCCTCCTTCCAGAACACACATTCTTCTCTTGCATCGACATATCGATCTTATCCTTTTAGCTCATTCACGGGGTCTCACATGCCAGGTTTCTGTCGTCGAAGTCGCTGGATTCGGCGTGTTCATATCGATGCGTGTGGGTTGGCTTAGACTGGGCTCTTTCTGGTGTTCTCATCCTTTTGTTGGAATTGCTCTCTTGGTTTGTTTGTGTGTCTGTATCTGATGATGTTGTTGGTGTTGTGTGGTGCTGCAGTGCAAGCTCATGAAGGGAGTGGGAGTTGCTGACTATCGCTTTTGTCAGATTCATGGCTACTTTTCTTGCATGTCCATGTCCGTTTTCACTATGTTGAGGTTTTTCTGTGAGTTAACGTGTGTGACTATTTATGCAAGTGGTGGTTTTATTCGTGAGTATTGCTAAGTTAACTGTTTTGCTGTGATAATGACATCGTCTAATGCTTTGTAATGTACGATTTTTTGTTTTTAAAGCTTCTTTCTTCAGAAGTTTATATAAGTAGTTTTACAATGGCTTTTGTACCACCAAAACATGTTTATACATACATCTACTATGTAAGACAGCTTGGATACAACACAAAATAACAAAGAAGTCTTCTGGTTGGCTATGAAGAGGGGAACGTGGAAGCATTGGAATGTGGAGTCGTTGGAATCTTGAGGGTCTCTAAGTACCGAGTGGGTGGACCCCATGAGAATCTCTAAGAACTTAGTAGTTCAAACCTTAAGAAATTCCAATAATTAATGTTGTGTTATGTGAAAACTAACCATGGAATGCATTAGGCATCTTGTTGTATGAGATTATTTGTATTTACAACAAACAAAGAATCTAACAATTCTAATAAAACTCTACACAAACCTTAATTGAACCTTAACATTTATAATCAAACTTTAATCAAATCCTAAAGAATCTTTAAAAAATCCTTCAAAAATCATTTGATAATTTATAAAAAAATATATAAAGAATATTTTCCAAAAATCATAAAGAATATTTTTAAAAAAATTTATAAAAATCCTAAAGAATTTATATGTTAATCATATAAAATATTTTTAAAGAAATCCTAATAAAATCATTAAGATTTTTTTTTTTTTTCAATAATTCTTAATAAAAGTATTTTTTGAAAAATCCTAAAGAAGTTATAAAAAAATCTTAAGTAATTCTTTAATAAATTCTATAAATATTTTAATCAAATCCTAATGAAATTCTAAACAAATTATATTTTCACCACATAGTTGTATTACATCACGACAATGGATAAATCAAATTTTGGAACTATACTTGAGGTATACAATTAACTATCATTAAGATGATTTAACAAGTCTTTATCACTGGCAAAGTTTATGTATAATAATTCAATAGATTCTTCCACTCAATAAATATCTTTTTTTTTTTGTTAATTATGGTTATCATCGACGTCTTAATACTTTTGACTTTTCAAAAGTTGATAATCCTGTGATGAAAGATTTGGCAAATTGTTTATTAGATCTATATATAACAATGAAGATGCAATTAAAGGAAGCTTAAGAATGACAAAAGATTAATATATATGCCTATCATAAGGAGCAACCATAATTCAACATAGGTGATAAGGTATGATTAGTTTGTTGCAATATTAAGACTACTTGTCTTTGTAACAAGTTAGACTATTGTAGGCTTAGATTTTTTTCTATTAGTGAATAAGTCAATCTTATTGCTTATTGATTATATCTACCAGAGTCTATGAAGATCCACCTCGTATTTCATGTATCCCTACTTGAGCCATATAAGACAGTGAATATCTTGAGAAGTAGACAAATGCCATTTTCTCATATAGAATTGGATAATAATCAAAATTTTGAAGTAGAAGAAGTCTTAAATTCAAGGAGGTTCCAAAATAGGTTAGAATATCTTGTTCATTGTTGTGGATATGATATAAGTGAATGCACATGGGAGCCAGCAAAGAATCTTGCAAATGCACCAAAGAGAATTAAAGCTTTTCATTGACAACATCTATCAAAACCAAAATGAAGAATAACAAATCTTTGTTATAAAAGAAATTAGATCAAAGGAAGATAACACTCTACCTTCTATCATTCTTTGTAGCTTTTATGTATTTGTGATGCTAAGGAGATGGAGAATAGACAACCTATAGATTTAACTCAAGAACTTTCATTTGTTGACTTAGTAAACCAGACATTATAATTGTCACAACCTTCAAGATGACATAATAAAAATTAAGATCCACAAGAACAACATATAATTCTTTAGATAGATAGCAAGATATAATATGTTTGATATCATGACCATGGAAGAGACTCTCAATGTTTTTTGATTTAATTAAAGGTAAGAACAACTCTAGATTGTTTTCCAAATATTTTATTTGAAGGAAGTTAAGAAGGCTTCAACAATAATTAAATAATAGGGTGGTCTTCTTGTCTTGGTATGAAACACTATCGATTGATGAGAGAACCTAACAACGATCTTTGAAAAGAACAAAAATTAGAGTATGTAGCAAATATAATTTGCCACAACTTGAATTTCTTTAAAATATGAAGATCGCTTTTTGTGGACCTTGTCTTTAGAAGAAAGAGGTAATGTCATGGATATACAAAGGTATTGTAATAAATACTTATATGATTAGGTAGAAATAGATAAAAATAAATAAAAGTAAGTTAATTTCATAAGACCTTCTAAAAAAGCTTCCTAGAAGCTTCATAGATGCTCTTTTGACTTTACATGTATTTATGATTGATCCATAGGTTAGAAACTTAGTCAACAAGTTAATCATGTATTGATAGCTTGTAAAGTAAATTAACTACATAGCACATATATAAAAAACTTACATTGCAAGTTAAATTATGTATCTTGCAAAGTCAAAACATTTTAGAGGTCCTATAAGACATGGCCATGTAGCTCCTAGCTAAGAATATATATAGAGACAAGAGTGAAGCCTTCTTTACTCTTATCAATGCCTTTCTAGTCTTTAGTCTTATTTCAAGACTTTTTAGTCTTCTTGTTTTTAGCAATAGCCATTCTAATTTAATATTATATCATCTTTGACTGATTTTTTAGCTCTTTTCAATGATACAAGAATATATTAAGGATTTTTTTCTTGAAGATTTATATCTTTTATAGTAATATATTCTCTTTATACTTAAAAATGATAACTCTTGAGTTGAATCTATTGGTTGTTGGTTCTCCATCTCCTAAGTACTAAAAAATTTAAAGAAAGAATGTTGCAAGATAGAATGAAATCTCTATTGGGCTTGTTTTGCTTTATAGCAAAGAATTTATATATTCTTCATATTGATTTTGATGGATGGCACTCATGAAAAGCTTTAATTTTAGTTGATCCATTTGTTAGATTTCTAGATGGCTCCCATGTGTATTCATTAATGTAATATCTATACCAATGTATTAGATATTCTAACCTATTTTGGCACTGCCTTAAATCTAAGACTTCTTCCACCTCATATTCTTCATTATTCTTTACTTCTATAAAAAGTGGTGGCATTTCTCTCCTTTTTTGTATATCCATTGTCATATATGGCTCAAGTAAAGATACATGGAACATAGGATGGATTTTCATAAACTTTGGTAGATATAATTGATAAACAATTAGATTGATTTGTTTACAAATAAAAAATGATCCAAGCTTATGATAATCCAACATGTCACAAAGACAAATAGTTTTAATATTATGACAAAGTAACCATATCTTATCTCCCACACGGAATTGAAGTTGTTCTTTGTGATAGACATATGCATTGGCTTTTTGTCGTGCTTAAGCTTCTTTTAATTGTACCTTTATTATTACATGTAGCTTTGACAATCGATTTGCCAAATCTTTTGCCACAAGATTATCAACTTTTGAAAAATTAAAAGTGTCAAATTATGAATGATAACCATAATTGGCAAAAAATAGTGTTTGTTGAGTAGAATAATGTACCATATTATTATAAGCAAACTCTACCAATCATAAAAGAGTTTTCCAATCATCTTGTTGATAGTTGATGGTACACCTTAAATAATGTTGTAAAACTTGATTTATCCATTTTTTTTGTCCATCAATTTGAGAGTAGAAAGCTGAGGATAGTTTTATAACCACCTTCAATATTTTAAAAAGAATTCTTCCAAATCTTGATAAAAATTGTGTTCCTCTGTTTGATATTATATCCCTTAGTAATCCATGATAGCAATAGATGTTGTCAAGGAAGAATTTAGCTATTCCTCAACCTGTGATAGATTTTATATAAGGTACAAAATGTGCCATCTTGGTGAAATGATTGACAATCATGAATATGGAATCATATGAACTTGAAATTCGAAGATCCATGATAAAATCCATAGAGGCAAAAGACCATAGTTGTTTTGATATATTAATGGTTAGAAGAGTCCATAAGGTCAATGACGAGGAGTTTTTAATCTTGAACAAACATCACATGTCTATACAAATTCTTTAATAGCCTTCTTTGTTTGAAGTTGCTAAAAATCTCTAGATATAAGCTCCAAAGTCTTACTATATCCAAAATATCATGTTGCAAGGAAATTATGATGAGCTTCAAGAGTACATTATCTTGCTTCTCATTCTGGAATATATAAGCATCTTTCAAAATAGAGTAGATTTTCTTTAAACTCAAATTTGAAAGTATCTTGAGACTTAGAGGAATTATCTTTAATATCATGAACAAGACGATCTGAGGACATACTTGCTTGAATTTTCTTGAAAAAAGTCAAATCAATAGTCAATGTTTATTTCATTGCTTGAAGATGAAATTATTTTGGCTTCGATAAAAATTAACTTTTGTTTGTCAAAAGTTGCTTCTCCTTCTTTTGATGTAAGATTTAAACATCAAAAAAAGACATCAGACAAACCTTATTATT